TCGTTTACAGCAGCTTTCCAGCGCTTTTCTAGCAACGGAGCACAATTATCGGTTGGGCGCTATAAGCATATCACACGATCATCGCTTTCCAACAACCGCCCGCGGATGAATGAGCTTGGGAACAATCCTGAATGAACCATTGTCTAGTTACCAGAAGGCAATAAGAGAACTCAGTAATTGAGAATTCACGTTAATATTAACTACTAAAAGTCCCAGCAATTTCTTTAATTGCATCTACTCATTTATCACGCTATATCTCCTTCCAGGCATTTTTCGCAGACTTTCCTTTTATATTAAGAGTTATAATTTGAATTAAAGAGATAAGAATAAAACATTGGCGCAGCTAAGAAATCAGAGCTCAGGTCCCCATTGATCAGTTCACTCGAACCAAAACTCTCAGAGATCTTAAAAACTATGATGCATTTTAGATGACATTCGCTTTGGGCTCATTTACGTGACATAAGGCTCCTTCTTTACTCTTTTGCTGTAATTGTTTAGAAGAATAGTTACAGACCAAAAAAAATTCATCAAATTTTTTGGTTTGGAGATGACTAAATTGAACTACCAACGCTATTGTACATGTACGACGCTGTAATCCGAATATATTTGTGATCATACAACTACTCAAACCTTCACATACCCACTATATCATGTTTCTTGAACACAGCGATTGTTTACAAAGATTTATCTGATCTCTAAAAAAATTACACTTGATGTTTTAGCCTATGTTTTCGACTGCCTCGATGATTGCGAATGTGACACTGACGATGAAGTTGTGCACTGTCACAATGGAAATCGCAAAGAACTAGCTCTTCCAAAAGGTATAGCTCTACCCATATTCCTAACGCGAGACAAAAGAACGTTTCGTTTAGGACAACGTTTACGTGGATTTCCCGTTATCGGCATGACATATAACGATCTTCACCGTCTCCCCGACGAAGCAACTTTGATAACGAAGTTTCCCGACCTTAAGGTTAGCTTTGAAAATGCTCAAACGTATTTGTTATTGGATTATTTTATTCAGGTGATTGATGTGGAGCGTAATCCTAACTTTGACTGCGATTCTTTGAAAGAATACGATCGAGTCAAGATTGTGTCGGATTGTTATAAGAACGTTTCAGAAGTTAGCAAAGTACCAAGAATTTTCCGACCGACGCGTGTGAGTTTTATGAAAGATCGTTCGTGTGAGGATTCAGTGTTAAAGAGATCAACTTGTGATTGAAAATCGGGTAGATCAGTCCTTGTGAAATTCTCATTGCTTATCTCCTCTTCTCCTTCTCCCCCTGTTTTTAGCTGTCACAAAATGTGCTGTTCCTTTGAATGTCGTAAGAAGCTGTAAAACTGATAAATTCAGAAGAGAAAAATAATAACGCCTACTCGATTTGCCCCAGAAACGCACGGCAAATTACAGCCAATTGATCCGCTATGATTAGCTTTTATTCAGATGTAGTAACTAATTTTGATCGAAGATGATGTCTCTAACTTCTGAACTCCGTTTTTCGTCTCTTCATAAAGGCACTTACGAGCTAAGAAATTACTTCACAAGCAAGAAGTCCTGTGCACTCCTATTTCATATGCAAATAAGTT